TAAGCCTTTATCAACACTTTGATCATCTATGAAGTTGTATAAGTGATGTGATTGATTGTTTACATTTATACCCTTTGACCAGGTCTTGGTTCAGCTTGGAGATATACTCGACAGAGGTGAAGATGAAATCGCTATATTATCTTTATTAAGGTCACTGCAAATACAGGCTAAAGAACATGGTGGTGCTGTTTTTCAGGTTGATTTAGAAACTATGTTATGTGAATATAGTTGAATCTTAATAGTATCATTAGTTTACAGTCTCCCCAATTACACCCACAATATCCAAAGATTTAACTCTCTTTTATACACACACAAAAAAAAAAAAAAAAAAAAAAAAAAAAAAAAAAAAAAAAAAAAAAAACAAGAGGAGAAAAGAAAAGAACCAAACACTTAAAGTGTATTTTCTTAAGGAACTTTGACACCAACGCCTTAGACTCCGTTTATAGGCATGCAGCCCACTTCATTTTTCTTACATATGCCCATGTGGGTGCTATACTATACACTCATACAATCAAATTTAAGAAAAAAAAATCAAAAGATCAATTGGATTAGATTCAAATCAAATGTTCAAGAGACTAGAACTCTCCCAGAGCTCACGCTTTCAAAAATTCAGTTACAATTTTTGATAACTGCTAACTAACACTCAACCAACTACTGCTACTTAAGGTCTTGATGCTAAAAATCTAAACTGTACCATTATTTGATGATCTTAGGTGAATGGAAATCATGAAACTATGAACATTGAAGGGGATTTTAGATATGTTGATTCGGGGGCATTTGATGAGTGTTCAGACTTTCTAGAATACTTGGATGATTGTGAACATAATTGGGAAGATGCTTTCTCAAGCTGGGGTCAAAGTGTCAGAAAGTTGGAAAGAAGAACGTAAATTGGCACAAACTTCATGGGGACCATGGAACCTAGTAAAGGTAATTTTTGGTTATCATTGTATTAAACTATTAATCTTAACTTTTTGTAGTAAAGTAATTATTATTATTTTTCTTGTAATGATGATGATGATGATGGCATATTGGTAATATTAGGACAGCGACAAAAGGGAGTAATTGCAAGATCTGTTCTTTTAAGACCCGGAGGTCCATTAGCATCTGAGTTAGCCAGACACCCTGTTGTTCTTAAAGTTGATGATTGGGTGTTCTGCCATGGTGGCCTTCTTCCCCACCATGGTAATATATATATATATATATATATATATATATATATATTTTCATTAGATGATAACTATTTTATAATTATAATTTACACCACAAAATCTCAATAGTCAATATTCACTTGGTGGTGTTTCAGTTACTTATGGCATAGAGAAGATAAACAATGAGGTATCTAAATGGATGAATAATGTTGGTGAAAATGATGAGTCACAAATACCATTTATAGCTACACGAGGATACGATAGTGTTGTGTGGAATCGTTTATACTCTAGAGATACCACTGATTTAGAAGATTATCACATCGAACAGGTGACTAAAGTTTATTTTCATGATATTAAGATGTTTATATTTGGGACTTAATGGAAACATGTTTTTTTGTTACAGATTCAGTCTATACTTGACACTACACTTCAAGTGGTTGGAGCAAAAGCTATGGTGGTGGGCCATACTCCACAAACTACAGGTGTCAATTGGTAAGCAATCATCATGTTCATGTTTAAATGGTCAGATGACACTAAAATCACCAACAAAATGTCTTCATGATAATTGTAGTGTATATTTTATCATATGATAAAGTGACTTGTGAATGTAATAATTTAAAGGGTATTTTGTATTGTTTGCAGTAAGTATAATTGTAGCATTTGGCGCATTGATGTGGGGATGTCTAGTGGAGTTCTTGATTCAAGACCTGAGGTAAAACGTACACCTTTTCTTTATACTTTTTTTTTTTTTTTTTTTTTTTTATAATTATAAATATGTTTTGTAATGTTGTAAAATGTTTGACTTTCATTGACCAGGTTTTAGAAATAAGAGGCGACAAAACAAGGGTAATAAGGAGCGAATCAGAGACATTCGGTGAACTTCAGGCAGTTGATTATATGTAGATAAACCACAAGGTTCTATTACAAGTTTCTATTTTAACATAGTCCAAAACTCCAATAGTGGACTTAATTTATTAAGCTATAAAATATGTGTTTTTATTGACTTAATACAGAAATAACGACTTATTGGGATGAAGATGAAGCCATGATATGATTTGTCCTGTGAAGAGCTGCATGGAGATGAACGGGTGGATGAATATTTATTGGGTTTAAATTCATGGCACATAAGTAGTTTTATTGTAAAATAGGATGAAAAAACTTGCTACTCTAGAAAAGTTTCATGTCTATACTGGGGGGATATGTATATAAACAAAAGGGTATTTATGGAATAAAACTTGTTTGGTTGATGTATATTTACATGGCAACAAACAAGATGTAATCGTATTACTTATAAATATTTGAAAGAGCCAAACAATTTGTTGCTTTTAGAGGTTACTTACTTGATTAATAATGTTCATAGGGTGCTTTTTATTTTTGTACAAACTTGGACATGTACATCTTCTAAGGCCACACTTTAGGACTGGCTTTGAGGGATTTTTAATAACTAAGGTGCTTGTGTTTGACTTCTTATAAGTACTTATGATAAATGATTATAATACAAGGTCTATCGTTATGTAGGTATGCCACTTCTTATAAGTATTGTATCCTAAAATAGACTTTGAGCCCAAGCCCATTAATAAGACCATGTTTCAGCAATAAATTTGTTAGAAGACATTTCTCCTATGGATACGTTTTTTTTTTTGCATATTTTTTAGAAAACAACTAAAGAAGTGAGGTAAAACAGAACTCAATTGTAATTCAAGGGGTTGTATGTAAAGTTGAAGTGATGACTTGACTAATTAAGATATATATAGTTGTTTCTTTTGGACTTACAATTAAGACAAAATTGCAAAAATGGTCCCTGTGGTATGCAAAATTTTGGGGTTTTAGTCCAAACAGTGACTTTTTTGGTTTCGTGGTCCTTTTGGAGTGGTTTGTATGTGAAAATGGTCCCTCCGAAAATTGAAATGACTATAATACCCTTGGGGTATTTATTTTTTATTTTTCTTTCATTATTCTTAAAATTTAATATTTATTTATTTATTTTAGCAATTAAAAAAATAAAAAGGGCCCACCCCTCTCTCTCTCTCTCTCTCTCTCTCTCTCTCTCTCTCTCTCTCTCTCTCTCTCTCTCTCTCTCTTATTCCTTTATTCATCAGGTAGAAGACATTCCTTCATTCCTTCCCATTTTTCTTCACCACCGACCAAGGAAGGTTGTCGGCCACCGGAGCTGCCTTTTCCTTCCTCTTCCGGCCGAGCAACGCCACCCAAACACCCCTAAAGATCGTCATTCTCTCCAAAAGATCCAAAAACACCACCTTGATTGGCGACTGCTTTGCTCCTCCTCCCCTTCGTGTGTTGTCGTGTGTTGCTACTGGGAAGCAAATGAACCATGGAGGGCTCACAATAGATCGACTGCCCATCCTTTCCTCGTGATTTCTCAGCCATCATCGGAGCTTCCCGTTAGCTGCCTTCGTTCCTTTCTTCCCGATCTGTCGAATCCCGTCGGCTGGAGCTTTGGGGGAAATACACTTGCGTTCTTAATCGGCTTCAGGTAACATTTTATTTTATCCCCGATGATCAGATTTTGTGTTGGATCAAAATTTTGAGTTTATTGTTGTGTGATTGTTTTAGGGTATACTAGAGTTGGGGTTCTTTAAACCACGGGAAGCGATGAACCCATGTTTCCCTCTGCAATTTCCGACTTCCTATCAGCAGCGATACCACAGGGACCGTATTTGGTTGATGTTTGTTCTACGTATTCCAATCAACAACCTTTTTCTCAGTTTGGTGGCTTAATTTCGGTTAGGATGGTTATTTCCTATAGCAATCAGGAGGCGACCTTGCTGCCCTGTTTCTATTATGCTGGTAACGAACATGAAAGAGAGGGGGGAGGGAAAGGAGGTGGTTTGGTGGTCGGAGGTTGCTCCAGCAGTCGAGTGAGGTTGGGATGGTTGTTTCCGGTGGAGAGAAGGTGGTGGCAGCAGGGGTGGTGTAGTGTGTGGGATTTACGGTGGCATTTTAGTGGCCGACGGGGTGTGGTGGCTGGCTCTAGATCACCGGAGAGAGAGAGAGAGGTGGGACCTTTTTTATTTTTTTTAATTGTTAAAATAAATAAATAAATATTAAATTTTAAGAATAATGAAAGAAAAATGAAAAATAAATACCCCAAGGGTATTATAGTCATTTTAATTTTCGGAGGGACCATTTTCACATACAAACCACTCCAAAAGGACCACGAATCAAAAAAAGTCACTGTTTGGACTTGTTTCCTGAAAAAATGCAAACCACAGGGACTATTTTTGCAGTTTTGTCTACAATTAATACAAACGTTAGATTGATCGGTTTATGTATTAAGACCATTCATTTTACAAAATTGCCCATAACTTTGTTTTTCTAATTTCACATTTTATTTTGGGTTTGAAATAAAAGGGGAAGAAATTAGCATTTATGTTTAAATCTATTAAACAGTACATCCAAATCTAAATTATCATTGATGCTATGTTTACATTTGTGTTTAATTTAAGTTATTAACCATGTTGTGTTTACATCATTGATGCTATGTTTACATTTGTATCATTATTGATATCAAATAATTGTATATTTATTTCTTGTCCGATATCATTTTAGACAGATGGATAAAGTAGCCATGTCCTTATAGAAAAAAGAACCCTAAACTTGAACTCAATTTGATAGCTTGAGAAATCCCAAGGGGGTAAAGTGTCAAATTTTGAACTACAAAACATCAATCCAAACGTTGGCAGTTGGCATGCTCCATAGGACTTCAAGTTACCCTTGTAATCTCCGCTGCAATTTCAGAACCCTCATATATAAATTCAAAATCATTACCACTGAATGCATGCTTGTTTCCCACCAATCTCTCATTTGGTTCAACTCCCCTCGATTTCTCAGACCCTTTTGTAGTTTCAGTCTTCTCTCACCAATGGCTTCATCTTCCCTTGTCCTGCCTTCGGTTTCGCTGAAGCATAAAGTGTCAATTGATGCTCTTGATTCGTATCCGTTGAGGAGCTCATCTTCTCTTTGTTTTGGGGCTTCTAAGCATGGATTTCGTCGTCTTAATTTGGATAAATCTAGGGTTTCTATGAGCGTATCTGTTGGATCTAGCACTGCAGTTGATGATGCACTGTTCGCCGATTATAAGCCTACCACCGCCTTCCTCTTCCCTGGTCAGGTCAGATTCGAGAATTTAAAGTAGTTGATTTAGTTTCAATGTTTGAATTGGACTGTGATTGATAACAATTATGAAAACGATCTTTGGAATTCCTATTCTGATTCATTGTTAATGCGGTTAGCGATCAAACTGAACTTGCAAAGATGAAAATGCTATCATTGTTTTGATTCATGTTGAGCTTCCGTGATTTATACACAACTGTTATGATTTTGAAGTAGCTAGAGATTTCACTAGCAATTAAGTTTGCAACTTTGATTTTGGAATCAGGATAAACCATTTTGGTAGCAATCAAATTGAACTTGCAAAGATGAAAATGTTTTCATTTCATATCTCATTTTGTTTCAGGGCGCACAAGCTGTTGGAATGGGACAAGAGGCTCAAAAAGTGCCAGCTGCTGCAGAGTTGTACAACAAGGCAAATGAAATTCTAGGGTTAGCTCGATAATTCCTTTTCTCAAAACATGAGATTGCATCACATCACTTAAATTCATTTCTCATTTCTCATTTCTCATCCATTGTTCAAAATTTGAGCGAAAATAACTCGTATGTCATTGGCTCAATAACCAATATGAATCTTTGCATGAAGGTTTGACATCTTGGATGTTTGCATCAATGGCCCAAAAGAAAAGTTGGATTCCACCGTATTGAGTCAGGCAAGTTTTCTAGGGCTATTTTATTGATGAGGTTTAGAAGGACATTCACGTCTTTTTGACATCAGTCTCAGTCCAATGCACACTAGATGCAATACAACTTGTTTTATCTTGTTGACCTTAAGATATACATTTTGCTTATTGGAATATCTTTTTCTTAAAAAAAAAATTGCAGCCAGCTATTTATGTTACTAGTTTAGCTGCAATTGAGATACTACGTGCACGTGATGGAGGTCAACAAATAATTGACTCAGTGGATGTTACATGTGGGCTAAGTTTGGGGGAATACACTGCTCTTGCATTTGCTGGAGCATTTAGGTGAGCCATGCAATTTTGATAGGATTCCAAATTCCATTATTACCCTTTTAAAAAAAATCATTCTTTGTGCATTTGACTATATTATTAGCTTTGAAGATGGTCTAAAGCTGGTCAAACTAAGAGGTCAAGCAATGCAGGTAAGCAAGTCAACAATACTACTGTTATTGTGTTCTTTGATAGTTTTATTATTATTTTTTTTTTGTTAAAAGAGATAAATTTTCTAAAAGATACAAATACATTCAGGAAGCTGCGGATGCTTCTAGAGGTGCTATGGCCAGTATCATTGGACTAGATTCAGATAAGGTGCAACAACTGTGTGATGCAGCTAATGAAGAAGTTGAGGAAGCTGAGAAAGTTCAAATTGCAAATTATTTATGCACTGTAATGCTTATTACTATTTACTATTTTGCCCCTGTATGTTTACATTTGGAAAATGGGAAATGAATTGATGATTACCTTTTCAGGGAAACTATGCGGTTTCTGGAGGCGTGAAGGGAATTGAAGCAGTGGAAGCAAAAGCAAAATCATTCAAGGCTCGAATGACGGTATGTGTGATTGAATGGAATTGCTCATTCCATTGTTATGAAATGTAACAACTCTTTCCATTCCATTCCACCCTAGGTACGGCTTGCTGTTGCGGGGGCATTCCACACCGGTTTCATGATTCCGGCATTGTCGAAACTGGAATCGGCATTGGCAGCAACCCAAATCAGAACTCCAAGAATTCCAGTCATATCTAATGTTGATGCACAACCACATTCCGACCCCGATACCATCAAGAAAATATTGGCTCGCCAGGTAACCTTTCTATTTTGCAATCAATTTAAATAAAAAAAAAAAAAATTAAAAATTGAAATTATTATATGATAGGTTACATCGCCTGTTCAATGGGAGACGACAGTGAAGACTCTCCTATCGAGGGGATTGGGAAAGAGTTATGAACTTGGACCTGGAAAGGTAAAAACCCTAAATTAGGTTACATGTCATCTTGTTGGTGGAGACCCTAAACCCTAATTGAATTTTAAATCAGGTTATTGCTGGGATTGTGAAGAGAATGGACAAAACATCGCCCATTGAGAATATTATGGCGTGATGGAATATGAGCTTGATTTGTTGCTTTATAATAATCTTTGGGGTAAAGGGCATAACGGGGATTTTGAGATTTTATAGAGAAGATTAATGTGATGTAGTTGAGTTTTTGTGTATGGTTATAACTGTACCTGAATCATGATTATATGCTCTCCGAGTTATATATTTATTATGAG